CCGGCTACTTGTCCAGTTGTAACATGAGTTAAAGTTACTTAGCTACTTATCTTATAAGCAAGTATATAAGTAGAAATAAGTAGAAATAAGTAGAAATAACTTTTTTGTATGTTTTTTGGTATTCCACGATTATTGCCAAATTAGCACGTCCCGTTCTCCCTTTTTTTTCCGCACAGGTATCATGCATGTAGAAATGTGAGAACATTTTCAGCGTCTTTGCGCGTTTTCCTAAAGAAGTATATGGGCACGGTTTGGAAAGCTTTGTCAAGAGGCAACAGCCATGTATTGTCACTGGACGGGTGTAGTTTCCAATGTGACAGAGCTGGATTCTCAGCGGGCAGCGGCTGCAGTGGTTGGCACAAAAGAAAAAAACGGCCGTGGGATTCCACCGCGCCGTGGATTTCTATTGCTTGTTGGGCCGAAAGAATCTTGTATTGACCACAAGCAAACGTGATACCCTTGCATTCGACAGAGGTTGCCACATAAGCGTCTTGGCCAAACCATGTCTGCAGGGCATGGCACTGAGCAGTTGGTCCACGCAGGACCGGAAGAAAAGAACCTCGGTTCTCATGTTGAGAGACGTCTATGTGATTCATTTCCAATAAGGCAGAAGCGGAAAATCCGTCTAACTTTGTCAACGTCTCTGCAATTCTTTTGAAGAGACGGTGTTTTCTTTCTGCAGGAAAGCAGTCCACACACAGTGTGTGTGCATCCCATTGCAGTGGGAGATGCAAAGAATAATGATGTTTGGGATGGCAGACATCGATTGAATACACAGACGCAAATTTGTTCAGGTGAACTTTTTGCAACTGTTGCATCTCGATGCTTTTCACTTGAAGGTTTCCACTGCGTTTGGCATCAGTCCAGCAGCATATCAGCGCTAACAGCGCCGTCAAACATTCGCAGTGAGGCAGCATAGCTGGAAAATCAGGCAATATGACTTCCCAGGAAAATGCAACCATCAAAGGTAGCACTGACAGAGCTTCAGATGCATCTCCGCGGAAGTCTCTTTCTTTCTGCCATCTTTTCTGTGCGAAAATTTTGTTGATGTCCAAGGTCGACTCTTTGGAGGCTGTCCAGCATTGCAGAACGTATCTGCGTACTTTATCGATGTCGCAGGAGGTCTTGTCCAAAAGAGCATTATACCAGAGCCCCAATTCTTGAGGCACTATGCCATTTGCCAGGAAGCAGTGCATGGGGTCGTACCTCAAGGATGATAATGGAATCCAGTTTCGGAGGTCTTCTTGCACTAAAATAGACGCCGACAAGGCATGCAGGTGCCATCCCAATAGCTTTTCCGCTTCTTCTCTTTCCTTGCGAGACAGCAAGGTTTCGAGGTGACGTTGGATCTGGATAAGATTGTCTTGCGTTTGCAAGTGGCAAGCATCCACATCACAGCAACTGATGTGCACGTGTTTCTGCACTTTGTCATGTCCGTTTAAAACATTTTGACATAAGAAGCATGGCTTCAGAGCAGAACTTCCTTTGCAACCGGTCAGCAAACGCAAGCCATCTGCGTCAGCTACCAGAGACACTTTGGCAATGGTGCAAAGGGTTGGTTCATCATTCAGAACAAGCGTGAAGCCATGCTGGGTTTCTTGCCTGAGCCACCGTAAATAGTGAACCAGCGACTGTGGATAGCCATTTGCGATGCTCTGCATTTCGCGAGTCCGAATGACAGCAAGTGTCATCCAAGCATCATCAGCCCAAAGCACGGGCATCTGCGCAATGGCTCCATACGTCATTGCTGCCTTTCTCTGCAAATCAGGTTGCAAAACATTACCTGGAGTTGCTTCGTCCCAAGCCAGGACTAGATGCAACTGCGGACCATGTTCTTTGAGAACATATGCCATGGACTCAGAAAAAAACTGCGATCCATCACACTTAGCTTGCAGCACGGCCGGGACAGAAGTAACAGCCATGTGGCAACATGGATCTCCGAAGGTTACCGTCGTTACGACGTCACTATAACCTTTGGAAACTTCAGCCGTTTCCGTTTAGAAGTTCCACGACCTTGTCCATCATCTCGCAGATGCGCGATAATACGGCGCGCAGCGGTGGCTGTCACACCTTGAATTTCACGCAGAAATTCAAATTGCTCCGAAGGTTTAGCGTGTTGATCTAGTAGTATATTTTTTCCATGGCTTCTGTTCGATCCCGCTTTCGCTTTCATTGTTTTTACATACCTGTACACGCGTGAACCATACATGCAGCAGAAGAGACACATGACATGCTCACGGCCATCTATATAGCAATCATGGTACTTCGGTTTGCGGTGGAGGAAGGTTCTTGCACATGTTTCGTTCTTGCTTAGACTATATATCTATGTTAGATTTTCTGCGTATATATAATCCGTCGTTACATATAGGTCTTTCCTGTGTAATCAATGGCATGGCTTGCCTTTTGCGAGGTAGTAACCTACATGAATATATATATATATATATATACATATATATAGTATATATAATATAAAACTCACCAATTCGTGCATGAATGGAAAGATCTGCATGGAATTGGCATGCACACACCAAGCGGTTCAGCGCAACACGACTTTTCCCGGAAGCCGCAGGACCGTGCGCTCTGATCCATCTACGGCTAAAGCTTCAGTCCACATATCAGACGGAGTTTGACACAGCACCCTCACAGGGACAGCCTGTCTACGTGCGATCCACGTTTCACAACATGTTGCTGCTCACAGCAACACAGAGCCCAAAGCGAAACTGGCCTAAGGATCTACCACAAACGACAGGAACAGTCAGCAGACTCAAGGGGGGCTCTTGCCAGTTTTGCGGCGCTTGTCACCGCCCTCACTGTCGTGGCTGCGAGCTGCCCTCTTCTTGGGCGACGCTTTCGCCGCAGCATTGGCCTTGGGCGCCGCCTTCGCCTTCGCCTCCTTTTTGGGCAGCAGGGAACGCAATGCGCTCTGCACTTCCGTTGCTTGCTTTAGCAGCAACTTCACATCATTGCCTTCGAACGGCAAAGCCGTCAAAGGCAGCAGATCGCCACCAGCGTCCTTCCACAGCTCGCGGGTCGACTCATGCACGTTGATGCACTCACGAGCCGCCGTCGCCCAGGTCGAGCTTGCCCATGCAATCATCTTTCGACTGTTTGATTCCCTCAGGAATCTCACAGCCGCTTTTCTCCACTTTTTCCAGCAACTTCGAGACACCTGTGGCCGTGCCTTGCAAGGGACCCAAGGCCTTAGCGGCTTTGTCAGCTAACGCAACGTTCTTCGCCAACAACTTCTTGCGGTCCACCTCCGGCTTTCCTTTCTTATCGGACACACTGCCTTCCGCAGCCGGCAAATCCAATTCTCCATCGGATGACGCCTCTGCGTTGGCAACGTTATCCTTCTTCTTTTTTCCACCTTTGCTTTTCTGTCCCTCTCTCTCATGTCGCAGGACTTGCTCCTCAATCTTTGCATACTCTTCTCCCCACGACAATTCCCGCACGGGGACAGCGTACACTTGCGTGCCCAGTTCATCGGAAAACCGATTGGGACACGCTTCCACGAGGGTCTTGTCCCAGCCTTGGTTAACCCAGACCGACAGAGGTAACTCCTTTTGGGTGCACGTCGCACGAAAAGTGGAGATCCTACGATCTGTCAGAGATCTCACAAGTGTGGCCCGCACGGTGACCCACTGAATGCGACCTCCCTGCTTCTCCTTTTCCTTCGCAATGGCGCGAAAGAAGGAATGCGTCTCGGCCGGACTGAAATCTTTAAGTTCAGTCCTGTCGCCTAAGTTGCGCTGCAGCATCGCTTTTGCTGACCAGCAACCAGTGCAAAAGAAGGAGCGACCATGCATCCTGCCCGCAGCAGAAGCATGCTCCAGGCCGCACAAGCGACATACGCGACGGTCCGCCATGCCGCAAGCCACCTTGCAAAACAAAGGTCCGCACACTAACCTGTCCAAAAACCCAAATGGCTGCGGAGAAGTGCAGTCGAAGGGCTTGGCAGACAGCAGAGTTAAGTGAGAGAGACCATATATCCGCGAAGGAAACTGCAGTCCAGTTGACCTATCTAGAAGCAGCGAGAGCATTGATTGTGTCTATAATCCATTTCGGAGCAGCCCATTCGGAGGAAAAAAAAGCCAAAATCAGAAAATTCCGGACACATTTATTTTTCCAATTCCGGACACATTTCCCTTTAAATTATAATTAAAACCGGACACATTTCCTTTTTCCGGACACATTCGGACACATTTCGGACACATTTCAAAACGACCGATTCAAAGGCACCAACGCCTCCCTCATCGATTCTAGCTGGCACTCAGCCTGGTACAACCACGAGGCTTCTGGCAGACTGTTTTCAGTCTCCTCCTGCCAGCGCAGCCGCAGCTGCTCCAAAGCTGGGATCGCTTCTTCCACCTGCCGCAGGTGATATGCACCTACCCTTTCCACAAAGCGCGGCCAGTGCCCATCCCAGTCTGTGTTCCGAGTCCAGAGACGACAGACGTCTGGAAGGACAGCCATTTCCTCAGACATGACTTTCTCAAGCATGCGATTGCATCTTTCAATGCATTTCGCACAGTCCAGCTGCCCTTGCGAGTGCGCCATGCCTTCTGCTTGATCCAACAGTTCCACCACAATTCTCCAACCATCCTTCCACCGGTCACCACCCTCCGGCAGAACTTCCGGAGTCGTGGTGGTTGCTTTCAAGCATGCACGAAAGACCCGCAGTCTTTCTTTTGAGATGCAAAAGTCGGTAGGAGGCATCTCGAACACCAAGCGGAAAATCTACATATATGGAGACCAAAACTGCTGCGACACGACAGAGTTAATTTCCCTCGATTGATAACATCAGTGTGGTTTCCTTTTAATGTATATAAGCATGTTCTTTATACATGGTTATTTCTGAATATGTCTGTCTTCCCCCTTTTGTGACCGAGGCAAATTCCACATGACCCTGTCCCTTTATTCAGCACAGCACCATTTTGTCCGACATGTCCGGTCCTCGCGCTGTATACCCATTCCTACATAGTCGTCACCGCGCCTCAGACTCAACGAAAGTTGATGGTCACATTGTGACGCCGACTCTTGCGTCGGCCTGCGCTGGTGCTCGAGGAGGAGACATCTCTGCGACGTCCCTTGTCCTTGCGAGACTTCTTCTCAGAGCGCTTCTTCTCGGAGCCCTGTGCTTGGCAATCCTGCTCCAAGACTTCCGGAGGCCCGCGAACGGACGATGCCACACTGATGCCACGGTCCGGCACTGCACTCCTCGCAGGAGCGCTCAGTTGTCCCGCAGACACCTGCCATGCCTCCCCTCTGTCACGACGGGACTTTACATCTGCACCGATTTGTCTGGCCTTCTCCCATGCTCCCGCTTGTTCTTTCTGATACGGAGTGAATTTCTCCCAGGCTTGCACGGCCAGACAATACGCGTTCAGCCATTGGTGTTGGTCCAAAGCGGACGCGTTGCCAGACACTTGGGTCTTGCAGATCTTGCAGGTTTGCCGCTCGGAGCGGCCTTTCTTGTTCTTACCCTTTCCTTTTGCACCCTGCACTTGTAGATCCTGCTTTGCTTCACTCTGGGATGGCCCCGCAGGCTTTCCAGGTGGACTCACAGGACGTTCTCTCCCACGATCTGGTTCTTCCGCCGGCTCGGCCTTCGACCGGCGCGTGGGAGAGTGCTTGCCAGTAGACCTGCGGGACCTTGACCTATGGGAGCGGCGACGACGGCGGTCCCGTGTGCGATCACGGTCGCGCTCGTCTGCTTCACTGCGAGATTTCTGTTTCGGAACCAATTTCGCCTTTTTCTCTTTGTGGTGTTCTCTCTCCTTTTTCCTCGGATCCTCCTTGGCAGGCGACGTATCCGCAGACACGTCTTCCTCTGGAGAGGATTCTTGCCGCGCAGGCATGATCGGCGAAAAGGGAGACGCCGCGGCAACCATGCACCTGACAGGTTCAGAATTGCATACATGTGAGACATGATCTGTCATCCCATGAAGGTGACTATACAGTATATATATATTTTGGGTCCTGAATGTATACCTGTACATATGAGACGAAACGTCCATGTTGTAAGAGAAGGCCGCACGCAGAAGCACGCATGGAAAGACAGCACTCAGGTATCTTATACTGTGCAACACCACGCGGGTGTGCATGACGCACCGCGCAGGTGCGTCGTGGAAACCACCGCGCAGGTGGAATCATATCCTCACCACGCAGGTGAGGAGCAAACATCACGCAGATGTTTGTTCACAGCCACCGCGCAGGTAGCTAGCTCCACCGCACAGGTGTGCATGAGCATTCACGAAACATCGCGCAGATGCTTCTTGCGACCACCACGCAGGTAGTCCTGACACCGAGCAGGTGCCACATGTAGCAGTGTCATCCCGTAGATGACAGCGAAACATCACGCAGATGCTTCTTGAGACCACCACGCAGGCGGCCGTGACACCGCGCAGGTGCCACCCCGACTTCTGTCATCCCGCAGATGACAGCGAAACATCACGCAGATGCTTCTTGCGACCACCACGCAGGCGGCCATGACACCGCGCAGGTGCCACCCCGACTCGTGTCATCCCGCAGATGACACTGAAACATCCCGCAGATGCTTCTTGAGACCACCACGCAGGTGATCGTGACACCCCGCAGGTGCCAATTACTGCGACGGAAATCAGAGTGGGAAGTGGATATCGAAATGTTCATGTTCTAACACCAATGGTTTACGAAACCAGCTCAAAGAAAAACCCAATTCGAAATGACATCCAAAGATCATACATACAAACATAAACGCGAGACATATACCGCAGGCCTCAGGTCGGAGACGCGGCGGCACCCAACGGACACTTGAGCCTATAAAGACATGCATCCACGCACAACCCTGCTGTCACCCACGCAGAGCAGAGACATTACATGTATTACATTCTGTCCATACTATATAAAGACATGTGATAATGTGCCATGACAAAATGAAATCCACACATCATGAAAGCACCCTTTCACGGAGAACGCGTCAAATGTCTCATTTGTCAATCATTTGTATAACCCCTGCGCGCCCAACAGCTCAGAGTGCAAAAGGCGCGATGATAGCACCTGGAGCAACCACCTTTGTATCGCTGCAATACATCCTTTGGGATCTTCTTCAACAAGGTCTCCCTGCGATCATTGTATCCCCCCTCCGACATGCTTCCCGCGGAAGACGATGCCGCAACAGCAGCGGGACGCTTCAAAATCTTTTTCACAGAAGCGGCAGGCCTTGCCATACCCTTGCACTTGGCTTTCGAACGTATGGCAGGCTTCTTGCTTGGCGTTACCTCTGCATTTCTTCCGGGCACTCCTTTTCCTTTCTTTTTCAACTCACCCCGCAAAGCAGCGATTGCAGCTTGCGGCCCGCAGGTCTCGCTCTCGACTTTGTCCGGAAGCTCTTCCTTTGCCTCACAGGGCTGCGTGGCAGCAGCAACAGGCTTCGTGTCTTCCAAAGCCAACGCAGGCGCTGCCACGGTCACCTTTGCGTCCCGAGGCTCCAACATCCGAAAGCCTGGTATGTCAACCTCGGTCTGTCGAGATTGTGTCTGCACACGCGCCACTAAGGTGGCTGCAGCATGCACCAAAGCAGCAGGATCAACTTGACCACTTGCCGGCAACACTGACATGGAAGACATGCCTTCCTTAGGTGCCCTCAAACGGAAATCAGCGATGACCCGCCGCAACCTTGCTTTATCCATAATTTCCGGGGAACCCGGAATCAATCCCGTCGGAAATGCAGCAGCAAACAAAGAAACTGGAATCTCCTCTGGATTCTCGGGCAAAATTTCCAAACGGACACTGGCAGCTGCTGCCTTATTCAGCCAACGGCGCATGCGCTCCTTATGTGCCCTCAAGAGCTTCACCTGGTCCGATTCTGGCCACGCCTCAACATTGTCCGCATAGAAGGACAATGCCACCAAAGCGCCATAGGACGCCTCCGTTGGATTCTTCAGACCCAAAGTGGCAGCAAAATTGGTCAAGAGCTCAAGTTTATAAACTCCAGCGGCACGAGATTCTAATTTCTGCCACCATTCCTTCGATAAATAGTTCGGCAAAGCGGTGAAGTCTTGCAAGCCAGCACGGCTTGCCAGATCCTCCTGTGACTCACTTTGCTCGGCAACCAATGCCTTCAACTCATCTAAAATTCCTACACTCCAGACATCGGAGAAGGACTCCATGATGCGACCCGCCATCTCCACAGAGATGACGTGCTTCTGCACAATCGGCTTGAGTCGTTCCAATTGTTTTCGCTGCAGCTCATCGTAATGAGGTAGGGTCTTTACACCATGCAAAAACTTTTGGGTCGAAACTATTTCTTTCAAAACTTGAGCCATGACGCCTACGATCATACAAAAACGATAAAAAAAAACAACCTACTTAGTAAAACCTTCAAAATCCAAGAAAAACACAAGTAGCTAAGTAAAAATAACTTTTTCATGTTCCACCACCTTACAATACTTATCCCTACTTATAAGTAGCTAACAAACTTATAAGTAACACCAAAAAATCTCCTACTTAGTTTTACTTATCACACTATCTCCAGACTTATGCCATCGGCAAGTCTACTTAAAGTCAAGGTATAAGTCCACAAGTAGCAAGGGACACCAATGTATGTTTCAATGTTGGCGATGCCAGAATTGACATGCCCCCGGTGCAGGAAGATTTTTCCTGAGGGCATGTTGGTGTGCCTTGCATGCGGCTTGTCGCTGGCGACAATGTCCGACATGCGCCGTGCGTGCCAGGTGTTTCGCTTGGAAGAGTTGGCTGAGAAGCTGGGCTTCGAGCTGACGTTGGATCTTCTGGGCGACGACGATGTAGCAGGCACCACCCAAGGTGCCAAGCAGATCAGATCTGCTGCTGCAGTCCTCAAAAATCACGCCCGCTCATACATGAAGCAGGCGAGAAAAGCTGGACTGACTTTGCTACAGCGTCTGGGAACGGACGCCCACTACGCCTTTAATTGTGCGGTCCAAGACCTTACACCTCGGTGTATGCATTGGATTACCGTCTTGGGCAATGTGGTGCTTCCCTCCATCAAGCGCACGCGAGAGGAGATCCGAACTGGAAAGATTCGGCAGTACAAAGCGCGTATGTGCATGGTCGCATACGAGGAGGAACAGATGAAGACGATCATTGTGGATGATCATGTCCTCATCTGGTACAAGAACCGCTTTTACAGAGCCAACCAGTTCGCGGCCGCCTATGCCTTGATCCCGGTGGCCGAGCGCTTTGAGGTCTTGAGCGTCGCCAACATGACGTTCCAATCCCTTGCGTTGTCCAAACAGGATGTGTATGCCGACATTCTCAGCTATGTCGACGACATCCTGCGCCCCCTCACGGAGGCAAAGGACACGGAAGGCGGAAGCCGACCCCTACCTGCAACAAGGCAGCAGAACCCAGATGTTACCAGGTCCTCGCGTCCTGGCTACGGTTCTCATCAGGGGCCCACTCATGGCTACAGTCAGCAGGAATGGAATGACTACTACAATCAGTGGACTGACCAGGAGTGGGAAGATTGGCGCCGTCGAAATCAAGGCCACCAATACAGGGATCGACGTTGGTCGGGCTATCGCTGAGGCACCGCGGAGGGGAACCTCTCGCCTGGTGAATTTATCTTCATCTGAGGCGGGGCATTTTCCTTTCAATGCACGGTGTCGCAAAGCGGAAGCTGTTGCCTTTTCGGATTTAATTCGGTTAGGCGACTAGCTTCATTTTGCACAGGTGGGTGAGCGATTCCACCATCATTTCCAAAACAAGTGTGCTAAGTCGGAATTTTTGCCAACCTAGTCAAGTTCACAAAAGTTTCATTAATGCTTTGAATGCATATGATTTGAAGCAGGCATTTGGCACTCATCTTATTTTTTGCCATGGTTCCTTCTTGCATAGCACACGGCTGGTAGTTGCATGAACCGCAGAGCGGAAGCTCTTGCCTTGCGAAGTTAAGGCATCTTTGAAGCATTTCTGAAAGCTTCCCTGCGGGTTCACATCGAAACCGAATTCAGCATTTTGCTTTAATTCATTTTGTTTGCTTCGGCATGCTCCCGGGCGCCCACAAGAACTTTTGATGCCGCGTGGAAACGCTGGCCTTTGTAATGGGCCACACTTCAACACGTTTGCATGTTCGACCACAAGCCCGGTAGAGCCAAAATGAAACTGAATGCATTCGGCCGAATTGACTTGCACTGCATCCGTCTTTCAATGTACTTGGAGTCCGATTGAATGGATTGCATTCGCAGTTGCACTTGTTCGTCAATCTTTGCACACCTGAGGTGAAGACGTGGAAGACTACGAAAGGTTAGGCGACGGTCGGGTTTGGGGTTTTGTTGTTTTGTTTTCTAACTTGTTTAACTTAATGGCATCCCTAACTAGACTGTACATAGCATAATGTGCAGCTTCACTACCCGGGCGGTAACTACACTGCACGGGGGGTGTTGTTGCACAGTCTTAGTCCATGTCTTACCTTTTTCACCTCTTACTGTTGTGTGCGTGGCTCAAGAAATGCTGCGCAGGGTTAACTGGGATTTGTGGTTACTCTAGGCTTTTATCCCGTTTCTACAATTCATAAGTTGGGATATGATTAACCCTATGTTTGGGATAGAACATAGCCATAGTTGGAGGGGTGAACAAAAAAAAACGGAGCCAGGGGATCCTTTTTTTCCACTAAATAATATGCTTCGGTTTATTTGTTTCCCAACCACTGGGCTTGATGAACATCTTGGGGCCCACCACCGCCTTTCCCCTCTGGGGGAACCGGCTTCGGCTTTCCGGCACAGGACGCGCAAACACGGCGTCCCAGCGTCCAACGCAACGTGGATTGGATCGCCTCCTACTTCACCCCGGCGCCGCGGTCGAATCAGCGAAGTTGTGGCGGCCAATGTGTAGTTGTGGCGCAAAATAGCTGTTATAAGTCAGTGAAAAAAACTTCATTTATGGAATGATCATATCATTTATAACCAATTGCAACTGGTAAAAAGGGCTGACAGTGTAGACTCTGTAGACCTTCAATGTGCCTCTTGAAATGATGATTTTAAACTGAGTAGAATTGAAGACGATATTGAAGGCCTGGACCATCCCGAGTTCCCCTGACGCTTGTTGATGGGTCGGGTGGCTAATGTTACAGAGATTTCATGGGTCAAATCGCAAAATAACAGCTGGATGTTTTTCAGGCGATAGCTGACTATGCTGACTGACCATGAAACCGCAAGAATGCCAAGTGGTTTTCTCACAATCCCAGTGGTTTCAGGGCACCATGAACCACTGATCGTTTATCGATGCTTTCCGGATGTCCAAAACGACGACCCAGGTCGTTTTGGTCGCAGCTGTGCTGACCTTGTTGCTGTGGATGCTTCAGGCAGCAAAATACACATGGTCACATGGATTTCGCCGGCAAAAATGTGGATTTAGATTGGATTTAGCTGATTTGACATTAATCATGTGAACCATCACTGATTGAAGCGTCAGAAATGTGGGAAAAAACGGGCCACGACTGGTTTAAAAGCAGCAGTGTGGATGGAGCCATGAAGAATGGGGGTGGTTAGTTCATGTGAGTTCGTACAGGTATACTTCTGGGTAAATTATAACGACCTCACTGCGACCGAGCCCTGGAAATCATGGTTAATAAGGGGAATCACCCCCCAAAGGGCCTTAATTCAGATTAGTGAAATATTATAATTTACCCAGATACTTGGGCATAGTAATTCTGACCTCTTTGGCCAGCGATGATTACAATGGGGATTATCATCATCCATGAGCTGGGGGTTCATCCCAGCAAATTGAAATCCAATTTTTCACTGTTTGTAAGCACGATTAGCATCCATTAACTGCACATATCATGAATTATCATGATATATATTAACAAAAAAAACAGGTACAATATAGTTACAAGTTGATTTGCAATCCCAACTATGGATAATTTTTATATATATATATGTATATCTATATATATATATATATATATATATATCATTATATGCAAATATATATATTATTACTATTTACAATATCTATATATATATGTATGTGTGTGTGCCCCCAGTAAACTCAACAGTTCTTGCCGTTTTCTTAAAGCCTAGGGCCTGGGCCCACCTTGGCAGGCGGAAGATATGGATGGGGTCACCTTTGCAATCACCAGGCGGATGGCGGGCCGGGAAAGCGCTCGACTTGATATGGCTTGAAAGATGGGAATATGTATATAATATATCTATACGTAATATGTATATATACTCTTATATTAATTTATATAAAGATGGGAATATGTATAATATATACTGCTATCTTCAGTTTTCATCATTTTTCTAGTTTGAATCTTGTCTGGCTGGTGGTTTCAAACATTTTTTTTATTTTCCCATGATATATGAGATAATCCTTCCAATTGACTTTCATATTTTTCAAGATGGTTAAAACCACCAAGTAGATATAATATATATATAATCAACAATAGAAGGTTATGAATATAGGAATGTATCTAATCAACTATATCTAATTTAGGAATATATCTAATCAAGTATATGTTTTTTTTCATCACTTCACTAGCAAAAAAATGACATATCATGTTTTTTCTAGGATTTAGATTTGGTTAAATGATGATCAATGGTTAAAGGGACATTTTAACGATGATCAATGATTAATAATTTCAATGATGATCATGGGGATATCCAGAATATTGGGAGGTGCCCAACTTTTGAGCAGCTGGTTTTTATTTATTTATGGATCAAGCATGATCAAACCATATGAGATACCATCAAATAGTGTTGCAACTTCGTTCTGGAGTTGTATAATGTTGCATGTCGGGTTTTACTCTTTGTTTACACCGTTATACTTGAACCACATGATGGGTTTTGACCGCCATCTCAAGCATCATAAATTGGGTGTTTGATCCCGAGAACCGCCAGTGGGTTAGTTCACCCCAGTTGTACGTGGACTAAGTGGGTTTAGTCCACGCAAATACCTGGGGTCGTAACATGTTGAAACATTCTTCAATGAGGTGAGCTTCGTCCAGCTAACCACTGGATGCAGATCTAAGAAGTATGGCTCTGGATCTTTGTTACACCGAACTGGCCGGTGTTAAAATATCGATTATGGGTCGTACCCTCCAGTAAACGTTTACATAACTATGGAACATCACCACTTTCACTAGGTAAATCAACTTTAAATGGGCAATTTTCTATGTCGCTATGTTACTTTACCAGAGGCTAATGGGATTTATGGGTTTTCCCCATCCCAAAATGACCGCACCTGAAACAGGTTGGTACGCACGTTTCTGTGTGTATCCAGATAAATGTTGGTCAACCAGGGAAGATGTCTCATCAAATTCATCAAGCCCCGAGCGTTTTTTAGGAAAGGATTGATAGCTGCAGATCGGCAATGAACAGCAATTGATCTGTAGCATAGATCGTTTAGACATGTTTAGAACATATTTTTGAGAAAGAGAGAGGTTGTTGATAAAGTGTGATATTATGGAAAGGCATATGTTCACATGCATCGGAACATATGTTAATCATAGATGCCAGCAGGGCAGTGACCCGTTCTAAGCAGTCTCAACTTTCAACACGCGTGTTAGTTGATGGTTGTAGGGGGTGTGAAAAGGACCCTGCTATACTGGGGATTGTTACAATCAATTAGCTGAGACCGCCCATGAAAAACTAGTGTTTGGTGAGTTCTCAAGACTAACATCCATATTATCAGGGATTTGCCAAGACAAGTCCCTAGATATTCGCAGATTAAATGATTACTTCTTTCTTAGGGATTGTTTGATCTTTTTTGTCTTCCCACTTCCCACATTACTTCGCGGCTCAAAAGCTGTCAGGAAAAAAAACTCAGGAGGCCTCCGCCTTAGGCAAGTAGGATTATGGTTTGGCCAATTGGGATTGATATTTGTTGGTGATATAACCATTGTTAGCTGGGGTAAACAACTTGAAACCACCAGACTTCACAAACCCTTGGATGTGCAACCAAGTCAGTAGGTGAGTTGTAACCATATACAGTAATCTTCTATAATTGACCCACTTATATGTGAGATATACCCCAGTCATACATTGAATACATATGAATACATGGTTTATGTGGGACATCCCCCAGTTGTAGACTTGGCTTTTGCCAGGGCGGTGAGTGTCTTGGTGATCGCTTGCCCATGCTCCTTCGGCCTAGCAACGAGACTTGGCCACACAAACTTCGGCATCAAGGGAGAGCACCAAGAAAATTTACCAGGGAACCAATGGAACCATCTAGAAGTTAGTTTTTAGATGTGAAAACATGATGTAAAACCAGGCCAACTATGGTCAACTAGTCTTAACTATGGTTAGAACTAGGTGTTTAATGGGAAAACTATTTTGACTACCCTCTGGTAATTTAACACGACCACTGAAAACTTACCCACTTCTACATGATTTACCTCTTCAACATGGCGATTCGCAATGGCTATATTAGATTACAATATCGTAATTACCTTTCATTTCATTCAATGTGAGGCCCCCGTTCGATAGCTAAGTTGGTGCAAATAACTCCAATTTCACTATGGTTTATGGTACTTATAACTATAGTTACTGGGGCCAATCTAAACCAACAAACATCACTGGGGGGCACCACATTATATAATTCAAAAATACTGGCGAATCTCATGTGGCGTATAGCTTTTTTTGGTCAGTGCTGGTGAATCTGGACATGATGCGAATCTCTGTTAGAAACTAGGTGGAAATAACCGTTTTATATGGGATCTACCATGATCTACCCCAGTTTCAGAAAAGTGTTATTACCCACTTACTTGGTGGCTTACCCAAGTAGGAAACTCTTAAATATCAAGAGATCTCAACCACGATTTCGCTGATTTTTGCTGGTGAAACTATGGTTTTTCATATACAGTTGGGTCCGAACTGGGGCAGATCCAAGGCCAACTGCTGTGATGGTGGCGACCGGTCTAGCTGCCAAGCATGGCTGTTTGGTCAAGGCCGGTCCCGCATGGCTAGGGGTACCCCAATAGCTGGATGGTTTATTTCATGGAAAATCCGAAAATAACATGGATGATAACTGGGGGTAGCCCACTTTCAGGAAACCTCCATATCAGGGAAGTTGGATCATTATTTTTGGAGGTATATATATCCCCTTACATAGCCCTCACATAGGCCTTATATATGGTAGGTACCTCCAATTTGGGTTCCTGGAATGGCCATTCACTACACAAATTATGAAAAAAAAACTATGAGAAACCACAGGGAAACCAATGTGCGATCTTTTTTTGGGTTGCCATACGGCAAGATTCGTATGAACTTCATCTTTTCCCAGGCACGTTTGTGTCCTAAGTTTATGCCTTCGATTTGCTCATAAAGACAGGCAAAACTGGCTCTGATACGGAAGTTTGTTACTTTTACCAATTGTTGTACCTCAGTTTCTGGGAATTTTGAGGGTCAAGGTGGGCGCTTTTTCTTCACACAATGAAAGAGGCATTTCTAGCGAGATATTCGTTAAACTTTGGAGATGAGAAACCCAAAGGATGGAATTGACAAACGAAGATTTGTTGGTGATCAGCAAGGGTCTCAGCGAACTCAGCCAACAAAAGCCACCAAAAGCCCCCGGTGCATCCCAGCGCAATTTGCTGAATTTCCCAGGTTTCTCATGTGTTCATTGTATTTCATTGTTACCCTCTGGTAATTTAACATAGCTATGGAAAATGGCAATTTATAGTGAATTTTCTCCCATAAAAAATTGTGATTTTCCATAGTTACGTTAGTTTACCAGAGGGTACCTTGATGTGGCATCAGATCTACATTCCTGTAGCGAAGAAGCCATGGATTTCCCACATCATACCATATCATACCCATCTTTTGAGGCCGCAAGGAGGTGGTGCTAACCCCAGTTATGTTGGTTTATAAGCCCTAACTGGGTTATTTACCATGGAACTTCACCTGGACCTAAACGAACTCACTTAGCACTAGACTAGCACTTAGCATTACTTAGCTATCTAAATCATTCTAAATCATCATTTTAGCCGGTGAAATCCGACCAACAAATCACCCAAGTTGACGAAATCGCAGGATGCCACGGTCTGGGAAAAGGTCTCGGCATTGAACTGCGCCGTGTTGGACAAAACCGGGACCATCACCAAAGGACGCCCCGAGGCGGACTGGAGTGGTGGGCCATGCTGGGCCAGTATAAATGATGGATCAGAGGGATCAAACCAACCATTATTTAGAGGTAATGAAAAATTGGGAATATTATGGGAGAATATGGGAGATGTTTTGGAATACAACTGACTTAACAACCAAGATTTGTGGCTTAAAGTCACAAAAGTGTTGATAAATTTTGAGGTGATTTTCATGGGATTTAGCTCAGGGAAATGATGGAAATTGGGATTTAACATGATTTAACCATCAACATGGTGGATAATATCATGACAATGCCTTGGTTGTTGGCGATCATGAAACACGGCCATCGAAACACTTCCACCATCAACACATCCCAAATAACGATAGAAACACCATGTGTCCAACTTCTGAGGCCTCAAAACAGCTCTGCGACGTGTATTAAATATATGTTTGATCATATACAGTAATTTGTTTCATGCAATTTGAAGAATCTATATATATATATATAGTATAGATCTAGATACAGATAGATAGATATATATATATATATATTAGATTAAAGTATGCGTGTGCTGCATACGATATGTTTAGCTACTTGACTATGTTTTATTTTGGTATGTGTTTGGCATACGCCCCAAATTAAATCCCAACTGTGCCAGCTTCATGTCCTGATGTGGCTGGGATCTCAACAATCCGGTTTTTATTGTGCGGTTTTAAGACTGAGACATGACTACCAAAACAGTGTTCCAAAATTAAACAGCACACTAATCCGGGGTTCATATTAGATACACATATATTCACGTATATGATTTTTATGATGATTTATGTATGCATTTACCAGTGGTGATTTTCTGCTGAATACCATTTACTCAACTCGTGGCAGGATCGTGAGTCAGGTTCTCCCGGGGGAAGCGTCAAACCATGATGAAAAAATGGATGTTGACCAATTAGTTTGATATAAATGATATCTGATATGGATATTAAATAAATGAAATTAAGTGGATATTAAATAAATGATATTAAATGGATCCACCAAACCAATAGTATTTGATACAGCATGTATATCAACGTGACATTAGTATATCAAGCTTGAAATTACGTTGAATTCACCGAATCCACCATTTACACCATTTACACCATTTACATTGAGAGGTATGCCAATCAATCAGCTGACCAACATGTTTTGTAACGTAAGCTCTGATAAATGAACATATATGGAAACCCATTGTTCCTGATTCCTGTTCGGAGAAGATCTACAATATGGATCACTCAGTTGATCTTTTCAGTTTGGTGAAATATAAATATAGTTTATCCTGATTTTCATATCACTGGACATTTCTCCATATCATATCTTTTTGTGGGTATCAGAGGCATGTGTTTAAATTTGTTCAATGGCCATTTCAGGAACCTAAATTGGAGGTACCTACCATATATAAGGCCTATATATAAAAGGCCTATGTAAGGGAATATCCCCACAAAATATGGCCAAAAATATGGTACAGTACCTCCATTTTAGGATCCTGAAATTCCCATTGATTTGTGTTTAAATAGGCCCAACAAAAGATTCCCAGCACTTGGCAAGTCACTTCATCACTTCATCGGATTTCGTCAGGTGGTAGAGGTGGCACTCCTTCCAGGCCTGGGCTGGATGAGAAGGTTCCCATGGGTGAGGCACCGTTTACAGCTAAGTTGACACATATAATGTAACTTGGTTAGCTAAGGAGGCTTATTGGAGAATTATATAGCTATACTAAAACTATATATATATATACTTAGTGGGGTTGTAAAACCAACTTACTGAATAACTGAGGGGACCTCACTTAGTCACTTGGTATGATAGTGGAAATATGGTAATTCACCAGTTTTTGATAGGTATAACTGACTTTATGAATTAATTATTCTTCTGAGTTTGCTCAAGTTGATATCGGATTTTCTTCATTGGCAATTTACCGTCAGTGGGAATCTACAGGGAATACTTTGTTGGGAGTATCCCCGAAGCAAATCCGAGTTGTTCTTACTCATGTGAGATTAACGAACCATTGTTTGGAATTAAGAAGCCATTGTTTGGAGTTAAAGCTTGTGTGGGAGAACAACACATATACAGCCAACCATGAAGCACCTCTTCATGGTTTTATTCGTTGGGAGAATGTCAACTAACAACTTTTTATGAGTATAACATATATAGTATAACATCACTAATATCACATGAACTAAGCATGGTTTGGAGTTCTCATAAGTTGGGATAGCTTTATGGGGTGGTCGCAGAGGGTCAACAACATTAACGAACATGGACAGGACCAGAGACACTCAATGCCCTCTGGTAATCAAACATGGCAAAGGATAATCACCCATTTAAAGATGCTTTTTCCCCATTGAACCTGCATTGATAGGGGATGTTCAATTCCCATGTTCGGTGACGCAGTGTCGAGAAAGTAATGCTATCGGCCATGTTGCCAGATATCCGGCCGCCAAAAAGCCAACAGTGAACCACATTCTGTTCGTCAAGTTAGCCAAATCTTGGGGGCCCCAGCTTGTAGTTTCAATGGCCATGTAGAAAGCCTATGTAAGGCCTATGTAAGGGAATATCCCAGCAAAATATGGCCTTATATGGTACAGTACCTCCAGGATCCTGGAATTCCCATTGGTAGTTGGATTTCACATCAACACATTTGCTCAGACCTTGGAAGGGTTTTCGTAAAATTATGTGACAAACGGGTTGGTGGTTTGGAACATTTTTTGTTCCACAATATATGGGATAATCCTTCCCATTGACCAATATTTTCCAAGATGGTTAAAACATGTTAAAACCACCAACCAGCAAAAACGTTTTGGGGCAACAAAAATATGCATTGGCCACAGTTCCCAACGTGATGAAGATATATATGAAGATGTTGGAACATTGTGGGGCCGTGTCATCGCATGTCATTGGCCGTGTCTTCCTCGGTCAGTCTGAGGAATTCCACCCGAGAAACAGGTCCAATGTTACCCCCTGAAACCGAGAAGGAACATGTTTGCCAAAGCGACCTCGCTATTTTCCTTTCAAATAAAGGCCGCAGCTCTGTCCAAACATGCGGCATACCGGTATAGCTGCAAAAATATTGAAACATGCCTTCGGAGTAGGACAATGGACATCCTAAACAGCATTGGGGTGCGATCCATTCTCAGACAAACCCACAAATTTCTGCGTGGGTTGTAGCCATGGTTAGATTTTTGATATCTTTGGGGTTCGATGGATAAACACCACTATCCCACTAAAAGTTAAGTTCTTAGCAGTGGATCATAGTGGATCAGCAAACCGTCAAACGCATTATTTGAGGGTTTTCTCCATTATATCTCGGTTATACTGTATTCACATTCTATCCCCATTACATCCCCCCAGATCATATCCCCATATCCGTGTCCCACTACATTTCCAAGGGGTCTCATGTCAGCTATGGTGGCAGGTGCCCATGCACTTCTTCAGATGGGTCTGGACGCAGTAAGGGCCGTAGGGCGTCCAGGGGGAGAGGGGACGCTGCTGGGGTGACTTGGCTGGAGTTTCCGGTGGATTTTGGAGGTGAGTTTGAAGGAAAATCCAAGAATTGTCCCATCCATTTCTTGGGATTCAAGAAATTATTGAGGACAATTATATATATCAATTTACTGGGTATACCTCGTTCTTTGGTATATCGAAGTCATGCAATAGCACAAGAGAGGTGGGGCTACTGGGCGGACAAAGCCATGACTAGGTCCCTTTCCCTTTACATTTAAACCCTTCAGAAACACTGGGATAGTATCAGATCTAGTCATTTGTTGTGGGACCATTTCAAGGAATGTACTTTCAATTAAGGGGATAGGTGATTTTCTGATACATAATCTAAAAATCCAGGACGTGCCAGAATATACGGATGTCCGACACACACACACACACACATCACCAAGACATTTTGAAATGTCAATGTGTTTTCATAGAGGTGGTGATGTAGAATTCCGTGGCAGACGTTAGCACCACGAACATTCCAAATTGCTTGGCTCTGTTTGTACATGGATGGCCGTTCAATTTTCCACCTCGGCAGGATGACCCCAGTTGACCCAGATGTACGTTGCGACATGTTGCGACTAATGGATTGTTACAAGGTGGTGCCCCAGAGTTACTAGCTGGTTGGTAAACTCCATGAACATCCATGAACTATACTTCTACATACCGCAGACCCTAGTTAGCCTACTTACCAACCAACTTAGCCATCAGAAATCAATTCATATACGTATATATTTAGAATTTATATATATATATTATATATATATATATGTCCATACGTATAACTCCCATTAAATCCATGTTTTTGCTGGTTAAGCAGCAGTTGTTCCTATGGTTTCCTTTGGTGAAGCTATAGTTACCTTTTCGCCATGTCAAATCTGAGGAAATTCTTGGACACCCAGGAGGAGCCATGCGATATGAATCGAGCTTGGATGGATCCGCAAGATATTGTTGTTGGGATATCAATGCGTCCTTGTTTCCCTGAGCATTCAACAGTACATTTGCTATAGTTACCACGTTGAACCCAGCTTGGCAGCTAGGGTGATTAGTGCACTAATCACCATGGGACCATGGGATTTAAAGCACCAGAACTTGGGAAATACCCTCGGGTAAACATACAAAAAACTGATGGGAAAATCACCACTTTTAATGGGTAAATAGACTATAAATGGCCAGTTTCAATAGTTTTTTGTCTGTTTACCAGAGGGTAACCCTCAGAGAGCTATGGAGGAACCGGGGCTGCCTGCAGCCCCAAATTCGGGCCTTGGATCGGGGCCTTGCATCGCGACACGGCAGGAGAGTGCTGATGCCTCCGCAGTGATTGGCTGGTGCCTTGCAGAATGGCCGGCTGTGGCCGTGGAGCCGTGGGGGTGTTTAACCAATCAACACCCAGAGGATCCTAACGGTGCTGCTATGGTAACATGGATCCCATCAATAAACCCCAGTCATGTTAGCATTTTTCTACCAGCACCATGGATCCGTCATGGGACATGGGATAAGACCAAGCATGTTGCAAGTTGTGGTGCAAGTGGGTGCAAGCGGAGCTTGATACGCGGTGACTTCAGAGGGAAGGTATGAGCAGTGCGTCGAGGTGCGGAGCAGAGGACTGGAAACAGTTGGCCAAGCAGTCCATCGATGATAGCCAACTTGACAAGGTAGAAGAGCTTGGGACGTCACGAGCAGCTCACTGCAAAAATACCTTCTACCCTCTGGTGAACTAACATAGCTATGGAAAATCACAATTTTTCATGGGAAAATCCACTATAAATGGTCATTTTCCATTGCTATGTTAGTTTACCAGAGGGTATACCTGGTGAACGCCCAGAAAAAGGCTGCAATGCCAGCATGTTCCAGGCGCGGCGCCCTGGAGGTTTTTCTCGTGGGTTCCGCGTGGAGTGCCAGGACTGCAAGGCCGAAAAATTGGGTACCATTGTCAATGATAATCATGGGATTTTAATGTGATTTTGATTTAACTCACTGAAGAAGATGTGATAAATTTGATTTTCATGATTCATGGGATTTTAATGGGATTTAAGTAAGAGAAAAAAAATCCCATGAATTTAAGTTTGATGGTTATTTAAAATGGTTTGAAAGGATTTAAGTCACAGAAAATGTGGTGAAGATTTCAAAGGGATTTCACCAGCAAGAATTGGGATTAGAGTTGATAATCATATAATCATGGGTCATTAAATGTCCCCATTGAACATCACCCAACCATTAGGTATATGGTCTATAATGGCTACTATAAGGTGATGTCCAATATTCCCAAAATGGGACAGTTACCAACCCCTGATAATGGGCATTTTTGGGCATTTATGGAAGTATTTTGAGGGATTTGCTCAAACTTTATGCGATCTATACATATTTAAAACAACACTATGGTTCTTGGTCTTTGTGACCGGGGTTTTCCAGCCTCCAACATGGCTGGTCACATGGCTGGCTGACCTCAGCCATGCAGAGAAGCCATGCTGGATTTGACCAACAAAAATACTGGCTGGTTGGTGGTTTGGAGCATGGATTTCATGTGATTTTATGACTTCCTAATCATATTGGGAATGATCATCCCAACTAACTAACTTTCATATTTTTCAGAGGGGTAGGTCAACCACCAACCAGACTGGAATTTCATGTTCCTATTGTTCTCTGGTTGCTATACCTAATCACTGAAACTCTTTCTCCTGTCACTTTATGGTGGGTTTACTGTTTTGACCGAAGTTTGACTTTCAGGTAGGAGTGAACCTGCTGCCAAGAGCAATGGCTTGTTTTGGCTGTTTGGTTGGTTATCCCGGCCCTACCGGGCTTCTAGATTCCTTTTTGGCACATGTTTGCAAACCGTAAATTGCAACTGTCACCGCAACTGCGGAAGCCTGGCCGGCGGTTGCTAACAGCTTGGTGGTGTCAAAGAGTTTTTACATTGAGTGATTCCCCAGTGCTTTTTGTAATGATGAAAATTGTTCAAGGGTGTTAAACCTAAACCAACAATCTGGTAATCTGGGTAACATTTCATAATCCAGCATGGATTGAAGGAAATTAGATGATCACCATTCAACCAGGTTTCTATTTGCACGTTTGCATTGCCAGTGCTCTTGAAGCATATCCCCGTTTGTTCCAAGATCACAGTAAGGTAAACTATAGAAAAAACAAGATGAAACCCACGAACCTGAATGCTCACACGTATGTTAATGGTACAGATGTCAAAACACATGGTTATGCAGTCACGCACAATACCTTTCTGTAATAGTTTTTTTGAACAGTCTTGTACATGTTTCCCTTGTTACCAGTCTGCAGTGTGGAGTGGAAAATGTAGAGTGTGGAGTGCGGAGTGTGAAGAAACGAGTGTGGAGTGTAAAGTGTGGAGTGGGGAGCGTAGAGTGTGTAAAGTGTAGAAGGCGGAGTGTAAAGTGTAGAGTGTGGAGTATGGAGTGTAAAGTGTAGAGTGTGGAGTGTAGAGTGTGGAGTGTGAAGTGTAGAGTGTGGAGTGAGGAGTGTAAAGTGCAAAGTGTGGAGTGTGGAGTGTGGAGTGTAAAGTGAGGAGTGTAAAGTGTGGAGTGAGGAGTGTGGAGTGTAAAGTGAGGAGTGTAAAGTGTGGAGTGAGGAGTGTGGAGTTTGTAATTGTAGAGTGCGAAGTGTAGAGTGTAAAGTGTAGAGTGTAAAGTGTAGAGTGTGGAGTGTAGAGTGTAGCGTGTGGAGTGGAAAGTGTAGAGTGTGGTGTGTGGAGTGTGGAGTGTGGAGTGTAAAGTGTGGAGTGTAGAATGTGGAGTGTGGAGTGTAAAGTGTAGAGTGTGGAGTGTAAAATGTGGAGTGAGGAGTGTAAAGTGGAAAGCGTGGAGTGTAAAGTGCGGAGTGTAGAGTGTGGAGTGTGGAGTGTAAAGTGCGGAGTGTGGAGTGTAAAGTGTGGTGTGTAGAGTGTGGAGTGTGGAGTGTAAAGTGTGGTGTAAAGTGTGGATTGAGGAGTGTCAAGTGTGGAGTGTGGAGTGTTGAGTGGAAAGTGTGGAGTGTGAAGTGTGGAGTGTAAAGTGAGGAGTGCGGAGTGAGGAGTGTAAAGTGTGGAGTGTGGAGTGAGGAGTGTAAAGTGTGCAGTGTGGAGTGTGGAGTGTAAAGTGTGGAGTGTAAAGTGTGGGGTGTGGAGTGTGGAGCGTAAAGTGTAGAGTGTGGAGTCTGGAGTGGAAAGTGTAGAGCGTGGCGTGTAGAGTGTGGAGTGTGGTGTGTAAAGTGAGGAGTGTAAAGTGGGGAGTGTGGAGTGTAGAGTGTGGAGTGAGGAGTGTAAAGTGTGGAGTGTGGAGTGTAAAGTGTAGTGTGGAGTGTGAAATGTGGAGTGGAAAGTGTAGAGTGTGGTGTGTAGAGTGTGGGGTCTGGAGTGTAGAGTGTAAAGTGTAAAGTGTGGAGTGTAAAGTGTGGAGTGTGGAGTGTGGAGCGTAAAGTGTAGAGTGTGGAGTCTGGAGTGGAAAGTGTAGAGCGTGGTGTGTAGAGTGTGGAGTGTGGTGTGTAAAGTGAGGAGTGTAAAGTGTGGAGTGAGGAGTGTAAAGTATAAAGTGTGGAGTGTGGAGTGTACAGTAAAGTGTGGAGTGTTGGAGTGCGGAGTGTGGAGTGGAAAGTGTAGAGTGTGGAGTGTAAAGTGTGGAGTGTGGAGTATAGAGTGTGGAGTGAGGAGTGTAAAGTGTAAAGTGTGGAGTCTAAAGTGTAAATTGTGGAGTGTGGAGTGTAAAGTGTAGAGTGTGGAGCGCGAAGCTTCCCCCATAGACACGGCGACGCCACAGGAAAACCAGAGACTCGAGACGAGACACGCGGGTGCAAAAAAACGAGCATTTCGTGCAAGACTTCCGTCAATTTTGATATTTTCGACACGTTATCAAACAAGTTTGGAATGTCACAAAGTGCCACGCCTGCCACGCAAAACGACATGACAACCTGCTTGGACACATTCGAATAGGAGATGTTTTCCAGCTTCCCCCATGGACACGGCGACGCCACAGGAAAACCAGCGACTCGAGACAAGACACGTGGATGCAGAAAAACGAGCATTTCGTACGAGACTTCCTCCAATTTTGACATTTTCGACACGTTATCAAACACGTTGGAATGTCACAAAGTGCCACGCCTGCTACGCAAAACGACATGACAAGCTGCTTGGAAACCTTCGAAAAGGAGAGGTTTTGCGGCTTCCCCCATAGACACGGCGAAGCCACAGGAAAACCAGAGACTCGAGACAAGACACCTGGATGCAGAAAAATCAGCATTTCGTACGAGACTTCCTCCAATTTTCATAGTTTGAAACATGCCGCAAGAACATGTTTTCCAGCTTCCCCCATAGACACGGCGAGGCCACAGGGAAACCAGAGACTCGAGACGAGACACGTGGGAGCACCAAAACGAGCATTTCGTGCGAGACATCCTCCAATTTTCACACTTTGTAGCTTCAAAATCGACGTTTTCCTACGAGTTTTCCTTAGAACGTGAAAATTTAGCAACCTCAAAATCGATGTTTCGTGCGAGGCTTCCGTCAATTTTCAGCACATGTCAGAAAATGCCACGCCTGCCACGGAATTTGCACCTTGTCGCCACTTGACGCAGCCCTGCCAATGCGATTTGCAAAAAACACGCAACATGACACGTCTAAAGTGCTGCGCCTGCCACGAAAAATGGCGATGGACACGTCCAAAGTGCTGCGCCTGCCACGAAAACTGCAACACATCTTCTGAAAACGTCGCAAAAGTATTGCGCCTGCCACGCAAAACGACTTTCGACACGTTCCAGAACACGTCTGAATGTCACGAAGTGCCACGCCTGCCACGCGAAACGAAGCAACGACACGTCTGAAACCTCCAAAAATTACCACCTCTGCACAACTTCCCATAGGCACGGCCATACGGTCCTCGCGCGGACGGTTGCGAACGGTTGCGAACGGTTGCGGACGGTTGCGCTCGCGAACGCAACGTCGAGCGAACACACCCTCAACCCCCAGACCCCCAGAGTGAAACGGGAACCCTTGCTACGCATTCGGGAAAAACACACTTGGACAACTCATACTAATTCATCCTTTTGAAATCTTTTGAATACCTAGGACGACTCATACCGAATCATCTTTTTGAATATACCTAATGTATACACGTCTGTGCAACCCGAAACATGCGGTCACGTGATCCCAATTGGAAGTCCGGCGACGTCACGTCGCCTTTCCACCAAGGCTATTGCAAGCTGTAGAGACCAATAGCGAACATCCCCTGGCAAAGGCCGGGGGCTAACTGTTGACCTGGTGCTGTGCCTTTTTTTTAATCCAATGTTTTATTCCCCGACGACTGACCGTAGTACAAAATATCGTTTCTTATATCTATTAATACGCATATTCAATATATAATATAGTTTAAATATAGATATAAATACAAATTCCATAATTAATCAATAAATACATAGATAAATGAATAAATAAATAGACGAATAAATAAATATATAATTATATATATATATAATTACTATTACACATATTCCAGCTTCCCTTGGCAGTTTTTTTGGCAAACGACTCCAAATGGACCCCCTTTGCAGCGCCCTTCAGGCCCTCCAAGCGTGGGCACAAGAGGTCCATGTGGCGCCAAAGTACGCCGAGGCGGAGGACTTTCAGCACCGTCCCGGGCAAGGCGCCGAGCGCCAGGGTATGGTGCGGTGGTGCCCCAGTTCGTTAGCTAAGTTGATTTATGAACCCCATTAACTATAGTTATATATCTACCATAAACCATAGTTTTTGGAGTTATAAACCAACTTGGCTAACTATGGGGCACCACCTTGTAGCTATGAATGGTTAGTAATGGTCCAAGAATGGTTAACAATTGTCCAATAATGGTTTGATACTGGTTGATAATGGTCCAAGAATGGTCCAAACATGGTTAATCATTGTTGAGAATGGTTAATAATGGTTGGTAATGGTGCAGTATAGGTGTGGAAAACCTATTATAACTCTTATAACTGGTTTATTTCCTGATATACAGCCAACTGGTTAGAAGAGTCATAATCCCATGTGTAGCTGTTAAGGGCCACAACTGTGTGGATATAGTAGCCCCCCAAAAAAAAAACATTGGTGTGTTTAAGGCGCCTTTGTGCTTTCCCAATAGGAAATGCATCATATGGGAAATCTATTGGAGATATTTTGTTTGGGTTGGCCCTAAGAAATTTAGTGATTTACCACTGTTTTAGTGGGACCAGGACGGCGAGAGCAACCACCACCAATACATAGTATGAGAATGGCCTTCGTTTCAGGCACCAAAACCAGCTTCATCTTCGGACCATTGTCTCCAATGGGGTTGTGTACCAATTTCATGAGGGGCACTTTTTCACTTTTTCCTCCTTAGGCTTGATCGTTGGGGGTCCCGCGCGATGACAGGTGTGAGCTGCAGCATCCCTGGTGTGGGCAAGGTGACGGCTGGTCGAACGCCAGCATCTGGGCCAAGCAAGGTGTTTGGGAGAGGTCATCCGGTGCCCCTACTTGGTGGCTCACCCCAGTTATTAAGTAGGCTAAGTAGCTTTAGTCCACTTATAGCTGGGGTCATAGCCCACTTAATAACTGGGATGAGCTACCAAGTAGCCTTGAATTTCCTGAAAGGGGCCCCCTAAATCAATAGATTCAATCGTTTCTAACATGTCCATCATGAAGGAAACCAAACATGGAGACAGTTTGCGATGGAAAATTAAGCTTGCGAAGGGGTCTGAGGTTATCCCCATCAAGATTGCTTATGAATCATGTGTTAAGTCAAGTACCGTTTGGTTATTTAACATAGCTATGGAAAATCACCATTTTGGATAGGTAAATCATCATTCCAATCCTCTATAAATGGACAAATGGACCATTTTCCATGGCTATGTTAAATAGCCAAAGGGTAAACATGTGTTTTGGTGGAGTTTTGGGTTGAACAATGCGTAAAAAAACCGGTTCGGCATCGACCAGTTACGGCCATGGAGATCCGACCTTGCGTCTAAAACTCCCGGTTGTTGATGGGTTACTGACATGGGGTTCTAAAAGATTTACCATCTGATTATGATTATGACATTTATATTGGATTTATATTGGATTTATATGGATTTATATGAGGTTAATGGTGATTTAATGGGATTTAATGGAACTGTTTGGTGATTTACCATCTGGTTATGACTAACAGTTTGCCATGGTTTGTTGATGGCCCATAGAAATAGATGGTTTACCGAACTTAATAGCATGGTAGATCTTTCCATGGCTATGTTAGTTCATAACCAGAGGGTAAGGGAAATTCATCCATTATGGGAACCCTGCCCTCATCTCAACATGCAGGTTTGGATATGACAGAGCTTTTGGGGAAGTGCTTGTTTGGGTTTGGAGGCCATTCACAGCCCATCAAACTCCATCATGATAGCAAGTCCCGCGCACCCTGGGAATCATATATGGGGATAGATCACAACCTATACCGTATTTGGGGGGTGAACATCCAGTTGCACTGCCAGCTATTTGGGCGTTCACCTGGATATCAAGGTTTTGACATGTTTGGACACTTATCCATACGATCATTTAAATCATACGTCACTCTTTGGTGCCAAAGTGAAGCTTCTCCGGATGATCATCACATCCCAAGCACACTGCTGAGGACTCTTTGGAAACTCATCAGCAGCTCTGGGTGAAGCGTTTGCAAGACGACGCTTGCGCCCCTTGGACCGCATACCTTGGAGATCCATGCCTGGAGGAAGGTTCACCAGCAACCAATCAGTAAATTATACAATGTGGTTGGTAAACCCCATCAATCTTATTGGATATATCTAAACCTTAACTTACAAATGAACTTGGCAAAGAATGGGGCACCAGATTGTAGGTGGTTTGTTGCATTCTTGATCGGCTCTGTTTATTTCCATCACAAAAAAATCGGGTTGATTATCCCAGAGTACTGACCACATAGCCTAATCATATGGGACATCAAGGTAGTGGGGTGCCATCAGACCTTCCCTAACATGTTTTGATCACAGGAATTGGCCTCCTGAAGGATATGTAAGTTGTAATATCCGGGCTGACACTGGGACATTTGGGACTTATAATGGGTATATCACGTATGTATATCTAACTGTTATTAGATGAAAGTCAGCGACCAGTAGCACAACTGGAGAGCCATCCTTCCTCCAATATCATCATAACCAGCAGACAAATCCCATAGTAATTATATCAATTATCATCCATTCTTATCCATCAAGGCCCATGATTTTTCATCAAGATCCATTAAGGTCCATTCTAAACCTATGAAACAGACCATTTCGGCGCGGTTGCTATGGGCCGTTGCATCGGGCCGTGGCACAGCCTCGAGGTGGTCGTGGCCCTGTCGCTGGATGCCGTCGGCCCCTTGGCCCTGCTGGCACTGCGAGACCAACTGCAGGATGGCGCCAGGGAGGCAGCAGCTGAGCTGCACCGAGCCGGGAAAAAAGCCGTTTTTCCGGTTGGACGTTTCGCTTCTTTTATTGGCGGTGGATGGTAATTTATTTATAATTTGGTTTGTTTAGTCTTTTATTTACTTATATACTTATTTATTTATGTGTTGTTTGTTCCCCAAACAGTGTGGCCACACTGAGGGGTTCTTACGGTAACAGTTAAGGCCCGGTGTTCAATCGAGGTGGTATCCTTATAGCGTCCGGCCCTGTAAATTTCCACACAAAATGGCTCTTGTGAAATGTCCAAGTGCATTTCGACTGCGCAGGCTCGCACAAAACAGTGGCCCGGAGATTAGCGCCCAGCACTTTTCCTGCAAATTTCCACACAAAATGGCTCTTGTGAAATGTCCATGTGCATTTCGACTGCGCAGGCTCGCACAAAAAGGGTGTCGAGGGATTAGCGTCCGGCACTTTTCCTGTAAATTTCCACACAAAATGGCTCTTGTAAAATGTCCATGTGCATTTCGACTGCGCAGGTTCGCACAAAAGGGTGTCGCGGGATTAGCGTTTGGCACTTTTCCCGTAAATTTCCACACAAAATGGCTCTTGTGAAATGTCCATGTGCATTTCGACTGCGCAGGCTCGCACAAAACGAGGCATCTCATATAGAAATCTTGCCAAGAGACCTCTTATCGGGAGCTTGTACAGAGATCTTGCCAAGAGACCTCTGCAAGAGATTTGTGCAGAGAGATAGAGATCTTGTACAGAGATCCCTTACGAAGATCTTCTGTGGAGATCTCATAAAGACACCTGGTACAGATAGCCTTACACAGGGATCTTGCACAGCAGCTTCTACAGAGAACCTCTCAAGGAGATCTTGCGCACGATCTTCTACAGAGATCTTCGCAAAGGGAACTTGCAGATTCTGACCTTGTATTGTATCTCTTCTTTTCACTACTAGGGTCGCTCTGTTCCTGCTAGCGTGCAGCCACTGATGATTTTAGGTCCTTTCCAGCTGGCTCTTTACAATCCTAACTAGGTACATGGCTCACAGGCGGCCGTGGGCCGTGAGCAATTCAGCACACCAGCAATGCTTTCCTTTTGTTTTTCTGCTGATTTACAGTGGTCAGAGCATCCCAGTCC